GAATTTATTTTGATTCATGTATCTATTTTAAAATACAAATTTAAATTAGGTGGTTACCTAGTGTTTTTCGTGGCTTGTATATTAAATCTAGATAGAAATTTGTCCACGTTTTTATATGAAATATTTATACTCAAACAGAACAATGTTTGAAATAATTTATAAAAACAGTTTTTAGTACCTACTTAGTTTGTATGGGTTTGTTATATTTTCTACTTTCAAATATTCAATCATAAATCATAAGCTCCATAAGAAGTCACATTTTATACTATCCACAATAAAATACAATATAGTGGTTTACTAGCACCGTTCTAATGTAAATTGAGTTAATATTATCTCAGGGAGATCAAATAGAAATACCAAGAGGATTCTTAGATCCGACACGAAAAGCATAGCAATATTTGTCATATCATAAATGAACATCATTTTTGTACGGGTTTTATTAAATTTTTATCATACTTTATTTCAATGATATTAAAAGTACAATGATATTTTAGGAATAGGATAATACATTTTTTATTTACACAGTAGGTAACTATTGCAACATTCATTTTTTAAATACATTCATTGATAKCTCCATAACTAATAACGACCCCATTCACTATGATATAATATAATATCAGAATAAAATAGGTACAATTTATTATATTTATTAAATACCTATTGATTTATTTATTTAAAATTATTTAAAATCATACCGGTGTAATAAATATCACGAAGGTTGAACCAAAAATAAAGATTACTATTAWATAAGTAGGTACATCCATAATATATATAAATACCTATATAATTTATAACAATAAACTAATAGTGCTAAAATTATTTAAAATGTAATTAGATGAATAATATAATAATCTTTAAAATATTAAAATAATGTAAAAACTAATGAGAGAATATAAATATATAATTTTCCTTACCTTTAAGTTTGGTAATAGGTAATAAAATTAATCCTAATAATTAATAATAAAGCTCACAACACAATATTAAAAATTATGAACGTTAATTATAGCTATGTTTTCTATTTGGTAAGATGAAGATAACACATGCAAGTGTGACGCATATTAAACTTTTTTGAAAATATTTTATTTACATAATTTACAGTCCTACAATCAACATGTTTGTTAAAAAAATATATTATATATCATATTTCTATAATTTTTAATTTTTTTTTTCACTTTTTTGAAGGACAAATTAGGTACAATATTAATCTAGAGCAATATTTTTCCGRAGTATTTTTATGCATAAAATTGAAATTCATACGAGTAGGTTATATTTTAGTTGTACGTATTTAAAGTTTTTATGAATATAAAAAAGGTCCAACGTTTTGCGTGGTACATCTACCACATACACCCCTTCGCATATTTAAATTTTAAATAAGTACCTTTAAGTTATAGCTAATAACCATAATGTCATTTATTTCTATTAATTATTGTTTTGAATGCAATTGTTGTATTGATATATTCAGAATTATTTAAAATTCAAAAGTTCAAACATGGAATAGAACCATTTTTTCTTATAATAGGTACCTATAACTGTATGATGTTTTTGAAGAAGTAAAAAACTTAAACAAATAGCAAAACATGTATATTTTTTTTTAAACGTCATTTTATATTGAGTTAAATGTATGCATAAAAAAATAAGTTCACTAATGTTTATTTTCCAAATAATAAGTGTCGCTAAAAAARTCACMYTAAATAGTTTTATAAAAATGTTTTCTCTAGGTTTTGTTAAGAACCCCTGAATATTACATATTTTATTTTTATGAAGTATTTCATTGCAATCATAATGTTTAGTGTGTGTGTCAGACGACGCTGCTACCTTGGGATCCGCTGAATAAGGGTTTTTGATGTGACACACTGACACGTGGCACCGTCACGACAACACACATGGAGTCAGTCAGTCGTGRTACGACTAGTGATAGACTAACAATTTGTAATTATATTTATAATTTTTACTACTAATTTCATAATAAATACATTGATTATTATTTATTTTAATATTCAATTGGTATGTACGTTTTATTTTGTGTTGTGTGTAAAATCCATAACAGTTCGCATTCATAATAATTTTAATAAATATACCTAACTACTTTATCTATCCATACCTCTATAATATCCCAAGTTCCGGATTTCCAGTAGTCAGACAGRTCGACGAACTGTTTGTTACTGTATAACGCTAACGATACTTGATCGCCATTAAATGTCCAAGAGCCAAATTTCATTATGCAAGTTTGTTGATCAAAAGGAAAATATGTAACGTCTATGGTGCAAGAGCTCTGTGAATCATAAAAAAACATTAGATATTTAATTTAAGATTATTAATATAATAATAAACAAGTCTAGATATAGTTAAGGCAAGACATAATAATCTTGTTTACATTACATTTATTAATTATTTTTAAACTCATAAATCAATATTATATAATTAATAATTATAATCGTATTATGATAGTTTCACCAACGCTAAAAAACTAACAACATTGTTTGTAGCAGTATATTTTACTCTTATTTTAATCGTACACAAACTTATTAATGGACGAATAAATACGATTATTTGTATATTATGTTTAAAATATTATTATCTTAAGCTTTCAAGTAAAAAATTCATACATGATGATATATGTTTTACATTTATTTATGTATTTATTAATTCAATCGAAATAAATCTTATAAGGATGTATAGAAAACATTTTTAAACGTGATAAAATAGTATTATAGTACAAACAGTAAGTACCGACAAACAGAATAGGGATATAAAACACAACTAAATCTTATTATTTTGTATTTCTGTAGCTTCATCGAATTCTTTAGTAGTATTTTACATGATATATAATAAATATATTTCATATTTTATTCACATGTTATTTTGATTTAATATTTTCGTAACCTAATATACTGTGTCATATACTATATTATTTTAAAGGTATAATTGATTTTATTTATACAATGGTATAACAATATTTCGTTAAAATATAAATTGTTTAAAAGAAGGGGCTTAAGTGCTTTATTATAAGTAAATAAAATGATACATTTGAAAAAATGTTAAGCAAGTTTAATTTTCTGTCAATATTGTATTTAAGTATGCAGTATACAGTAATACGGTACGTCGGTACCTTACCTAAATGTTGTATTAAAAACCTTTTTATAGGTGTTAAATTACATGCATAAAAGCTTTGTTCAATTGCTAGGGCTTCAGTCCCCCCCCCCAAATCTCAAACGCTATTTACACCTACAAATTTATAAGACTTTTGACTTATTATCGCGAAAGCATTATTCAATAAGGTATTTTGTGTAATCACATAATATTATAATTTATACTAATTAATAATTATTAACTACCTATTCTAAAATCCTAATAGGTAAAATCCTGAAACTATACCTCAAATTATTGGCATCTCTAAATTAGATTAATAACAATTAATAATCAATTTTTAATAATTAGGTTTAAATTAAAAACTAATTTAATTCTAATATTTTATAAATATTTTAAATTGAATGCTATACAATGCATTGAATTTATTTTTGTTATTACAGGGTTTTGACTAACAATGTTTTTGTCTATTAACATTTATAAAGTTGTTAATATAATTTAATTATATGTTAAAATACAAGACTGTCTAAAATAATTTTAAGTCACAGTTATTTAATTAGTAAGAACTATAAGTGAGTGGAGTGATGCAGGTATCTGGGATTACCACTTTGATTGAATAAATGTGTCAAGGTTTGAATATGTAAAATTACTAAAATTACATATAGGAATACATGAGATATTTCAAAAATGTTTTTGAAGGCTGCGGCAGTTCGGTTTTTTATTTTTTTTTTAAATCTTTTGTTGTTTAAACCTGAACCCATCTGGTCCTAAAATAGGGGTAAGATTGTGCTTTAGAACATTGACGTTTGTAGTATCTATTTTAAATAAATATAAGCAGGGAGTTAATAGTTAGGTTATCGTTTTCTGTCAGTGGAAGATTTGAGTTAATTGTGACCTCACCTTGAATAATTAAAAGATCTATAAYTAGAGGAGGGCTGAATACATGAAGTAGGCAGGAGCAAAGTAAGTAGGAAATAAAAAATAAATTAATTTAATATTATGTATCTTTTTCGTACAAAGGAGATTTAAATATATAATAAAGAGTTAGCGTTAAGTTTTCTTGATAGGACACTAAGGGCATCCTTATTTATAATTAATAGATCCACGCTTGTTAACAACTATCAATTTAACTAAACATTTAATAGTTTATAGTATTACAAATTGATCTAAATATCGGAGTAATAGGTATGTATTCACTATTACATTATATAATATTCCAGATTACATGTTTGTGATTTCTAATACTCAATTGCATTATCTAATTAAACATAATATGAGTTAAGACTTACGGGCAATTGTGTCGAGAAGGTAAGTATACGTTGTACGAATTACCGAGTATATATTTTGTGCCATATTCATAAATTTTAATTATTAAACCATCACCATCTTTACTTATTCCCCACACCTAACTCATGATCATTATAACATTAAATAGACACGTTTTCTTTTCATTTTGTGTATACCTAGATACTGTTTTATAGATGTTTTTGTGCAAATCATTTGTAATAGTATGAATAATTTAAGAATCAAAAAATGAAAAATCATGTCTTACCAATATTATTAGACAAAGGTGGAATGAAATAACTAACAATATATATATATATTTTTTTGTGTTTTTGTATCCATGAGTGTGGGTACGCTCCTCGGTATTAGTTTAGTAACAGTTTATTTAGTAACGGATATGATATTTATGAATAGTTATTCAAAAAGCATCTTAAATCGTATGTGGCGAAAATTGCCCGCGGGTGCGGTTGATGAGAACAGTTRGGTATGTGCAACGTATTCGCTTCTCACACTCTTCCTGTAGCCTTCTCGTCCGTTTTTATTACGACCGCACCTGCAGCAGCTGACCGAATACGTACCGGTGGCGTGTAAACAAGTGTGTTAGTGTAAGTATAAAGCATCCACACACGCACACACGTGGCATATGTGTGTGCATGGCGTGTAAGAGAGGTAGGTATAGTGTGTTATTGATCAAAGGTCAAACAGACAGCGATGGGACGGATGGACGGCAGTTGAAAGGCTGGAAAATCGTTTTTATATATAATACCGCCTCTGGTACAGTAGAATCCACGGTGAGGCGGCGCGCGTTCGGACTGCGGAGCGTTATAACGCGATGGGCGAAAGGCGTGCGCGCGCCTCCGCTCCCGTCCATCCGACTATCGCCCACCCACCCCCTCACCCACCCACCCACGCTGCAGCGTCAGCGGCCCAGCGCGAGCATTTGTCTCCGGGCGGCATTTATCTCGGCAGCCGTTTAACTCCTCCGACGGCTGCTGCTGTTTGGTAGTTATTATTAAATTGTGAAAAACCCAYAGACGTTTCGGAGAAATTCACCGAAAAATTGCCGACGCTTTCCGACAGCTGCGTGCGCGTATTATTAATGACACTCTTCCGCCGCCCGTTTGATTACGACGTGTTTCTGACCGCTACACCCCAGCCCATCCAATTGCTAGCACCACATTAATTTCCTCACACTACCACCACCACCACCACCACCTCCGCTATGCAACCCGACCATCAGTGGCATTTCTTTTACCACGGATGCCACGTTATTGTCTCTCGTTTGTCAGCGCACGTTTTTACGATTTACGACACAGCCGATTGACATCCCCGCAGCCACATTTTTTGTTGTTTTTAAAACGACGAATATATGATGTGAACTGTGTTGTCATATTGGTAATTTAGGTTTGCACGTCTGGCATCCGTGTAGATCTTCGTGACTTTTTCGATCTAGAAATGTTCTGGAGAAAYGGTTCTTTGAGGCATCTCCGACCGACCCCGACTTGGGCAGACATTATTTTTACCATATGGTGGARAACATCCGTTGTACAAAAACAGAATAAAATAATGAATGAATCGGAAAGAAAAATGTCGAAAACCTAGCCGGACATTCATTTTTAGGTGTCTTGAAAACAGTACCGTAGCTAGATACTTGTGCGCCCCGGTGCAAAGTGGTGTACTAGGTACCCCATAAATGGTGTACACAATTTATAGTGTGCCATGTATTAGAATAAATATATGGAGACAAACAAATTTACACAAGTTTTATATAATTTAATGTAATATCAAAGAATTTTAATAAGTTATAACATCTAAAACGTTATGAGGTATATTATAACAATAACTAGATTATATTAGGTATTDACTATTTAAAATTATTAGATCACTTGTGATAATGATTATATTATATTCGTAAGTCAGAAATTAGTATCATTAATACTAATTGTATTACCTACGTAATTTGAATATTAGTGTTAGATTTAAAAAWTTTTTTTCCTTACTTTTTGATTTTCAAAATCGTTAATTACTTGGTCAATATTTAGTTCTTCAGTGTGCTATTTTTCTATATTTAAAATTGAAATATTATTGAGTCTTTCTTGAGAAATCGTATTTCTTAAATAATTCTTCACAAGCTTCAATTTGGAAAATGATCGTTTGGCTGATGCGATAGTTACAGATATAGTTAAAAATATCGATCATGCAGARCGTAGGGCCCTTTCAATATTAAGTGCCCCAGTACTGCTTGAAAATGATCTGTCCTTGGATAACTAAAGAATGACACAATGGGAAGTCAGGTGGTTGTAAGTTCCATTTTAGGATTAGAATAGGAAAGGTTAGTATGAGGTTAAATTATGGTGGATTAGCATTGTGAGCTCAGCTTTCGATGTGGTTGGGTGGGCTTTCAACTTCTGTGCCGTGTATATTTTTTAATGAATGACGGTGACAGGCTGAATAGTAATGGTTAAACAGACTATCCCGTGTTGTTTCAAAACTTAACRACAGGTATATAGAGCTAAAATTGAGTAACGAAAAAAAAAATTCCTCGCATGATATTAATTATTATAAGTCTCCTTAATACACCACCATGCCATGTAGAGTTGAACATTCAGCATGACGCAATTCAGCACACATTAATTTTACGTATAGATTTTGTTATTAATTCCAATAACTCTGCAGCATAAGAAGCAGTGTCTGAWAATCTGTGTAGTTCTCACAAGAATGAGATTGCCACTTTTAAATATTTTATTTGTGCTTCATTGGAAGTTTGTAGATCTTAAGTTCACCATAAAAGTAAAAATAAAATCTTCAGAATTATTATTTAGTATGCGATACTCTTCATTTAGTTCATTTAAATCATTTTTCCAGAGGATCAATATTTATTCTTAACTTGAAATAAATCAA